ATTATAAATCATTCTATTATAAAGACACATGCACAGGTATGTTTACTGTGGCACTGTTCACAATAGCAAAGACTTGGAACCAACCCAAATGCCCCTCAGTGATAGACTGGATAAAGAAAATGTGGCACATATACACCATGGAATACTATACACCCATAAAAAAGGATGAATTCACATCCTTTGCAGGAACATGGATGAAGCTGGAAACCATCATTCTCAGCAAACTGACACAAGAACAAAAAAACAAACACTGCATGTTCTCACTCACAAGTGGGTGTTGAACATGAGAACACATGGACACAGGGAGGGGAACATCACACACCGGGGCCTGTCAGGGGTTGGGGGGCTAGGGGAGGGATAGCAGGGGGTGAGGGGATTGGGGAGGGATAGCATTAGGATAAATACCTAATGTACATGACAGGGTGATGGATGCAGCAAACCACCATGGCATGTGTATACCTATGTAACAAACCTACACGTTCTGCACATGTACCCCAGAACTTAAAAGTATAATAAAATATGATCCCTCCCCCCCAAAAAATCAGTATGCCACTTGGCACTCATAGGTTCAAATAATGTCAATGGATAAAATGTTGTGGAATATATTTGGCATTACCATCAAAAGTGAATGTTGGTAGTTTCTTACCAACATTGGTAGTATCTTAATCCAAAAATACTTGGATTAAGTATCTTTGCTTAATCCAAGTTTCTAAAACAAATGAATTAGCTGTTAAATATATCTTCACCGAGAACACATAGACACAGGGAGGGGAACATCACACACTAGGGTCTGTTAGGGTGTGGGGGGTTAAGGGAGTGATAGCACAGGGTAGGGATGTTGGGGTAGGATAACATTAGGAGAAATACCGAATGTAGGTGACAGGGGGATGGAGGCAGCAAGCCACCATGGCATATGTATACCTATGTAACGGTCCTGCTAGATCTGCACATGTACCCCAGAACTTAAAGTATAATAATAAAAAAAAATTAAAATTTCTCAAGCTGGTTGAAAAACATTAATCTACGTATCTAATAACCTCAACAAACTCCAAGCAGGATCACACCCAGATACATTATAATAAAAATGCTGAAAACAAAGTCCGGGTGAGAACCCTGAAAGCAGCAAAAGTAAAATGACTTGTTATGGACAATGGACTCTGAATCTTTTTTTTACTGCTGGTGTAAAAAACTTTTACTTCAAACATTATTTCTTTTAATAGTTTTTTATTTCTCTGTTCTCTCTTTCTTGTGTTCCCATTTCCCATGGTTGGTGAACTTAATGGCATCCCATATTTCTCTGAAGCTCTGTTCATTTTTCTTCATTCTTTGTTCTTTCTGTTCTTCATTGGATCTATCTTAAGCTAGCTGATTTTCTGCCTGTCAGTCCATATCTGTTGTTTAGAATGTCTAGTAAATAATGCATTTTAGTTTTTAGACTTTTTGATTCTTGAATATCTAGTTGGCGTTTTTTTGTTTTGTTGTTTTGTTTTTTGGCAGTAGATTTTCTTTTCTGTTTTTAAACAGGTATGGTCTCAGCTATGTTGCCCAGGATGGACTCAGATCTAGGACGAGCAATCCTCCCACCTCAGCCTTCTGAGTAGCTAAGACTACAGGCCAGGTAAATGCCATTGTGCCCACCATCTGTTACTTTTTAATAACTTCTATCTCCTTATTGATATTCTTGTTTGATAAGCCATTATAACCATACTTTAAGTATGGTTTCCTTTAATTTTTTGACCATATTGGCTCAAATTCTTTGACTACATTTGACTACAATGGCTGCTTTGAAGCCTTTGCAAATTTTGGCGTTTGGGCTTCTCACAGGCAGTGTCTGTTCCGTTGAGTGTTTTTTTTTTTTCCTTTCCTGTGCATGGGTAACCCTTTAATTATTTTTGTTGAATACTGGGCATTTTGGATAATACATTGGAGCAATTGTGGATACTTATCCTCTCTACTTTTCTTGAGCTTGCTGTTGCTTGTCTATTTATTTGTTTAGTGGCTTGGCTCTATTATTTTAGTGAGGTCTTTTTATTGCAGCATGAAGCCTCTGATGTTGCTTCTCAGATGCTGCCTTCAACCCAAACCTGAAACAACAGTGTTTTTATCAGGACTTTTTTTAATTGTTTCTTTCCATAATCTTTCTGTTTAACTGTCTGACTTCATTAGCATCATGACTCAGTTGTTTGCCTCCACTAATTGTTGGATAATTGCTCAATTATTTTTGTTAGTGCCCTCAGGCACAAATTTCTCCACAGTCTGATTCAATTAAAGTTGTGCCACTTTGAGGGGTGAGTTTTGAGATGAGTCTTTGAGATGTGTCCTAACCCCAGGAGGGCTCGTTCCATCTCTTTCTCTCATTGGCTCTCTCTGCTAAACTAGCTGGCTTTTGGTTTAGCTTCTTGCTCTCCTGGAGCTACCAGCTTCCTCTTAATTGCTTACTTCCCCAAATATCCATTGTTTTTGAGTTTATTTTTAGACTTGAAATTATCCACACTCTATTCCAAATAAAACTGGTTCAAAACTGTCTATTTCTATTGTCTGCTTCTCAATTTGAGCAAAATCTCTGGTCCCAGATTCAGAGGTGGAAGACATAACAAGGTTCTGCTTTTACCTGTGTGGCACCTCTCATTTTTCAGCAGGATGTGAACTTGGAGTAGGAGCTTCCGGTCTTATTTGCTTGCTACACCCAGTATGGAAGATATGTTCTATGAGCAAATTGAAGTTAGCATAAGAAACAGACCAGTATCCTTGAAACAGGGATTATGCAAGGTCCATGCCAGGTGGAGAAAAGGAGTTTTCAGCCTCTGAGCTTTCCTTGTCTAGAATTTAGTATCTGCAACATGGAGTTGTGAGGGATGAGAAATTCCAATGGTATGATACTCCCAGGGAGATGCTAAGGAAAGAATGTGCCCATTTTGACTTGAAGCTGGGAGAAGGGGTACACATCTCTTGGACACATCTGCCAAAATGGACCTTCTATCAGGAGGTTGGGGAGCATAAAAAGAGTAGATTGTGGCTCAAGTACTACAACCTATCGCTGTTTTTGCTGAGATTTAGTAGATTTTTTTTTTTTTAAATCAGCGTTTTCTTCTTTGTTGTACATCCTTAGGACGATTTCCAGATACTTTAAATGATTGTGTCTTTTAAAGAATAAATTTCACCCATTAATAGTGTTTCACTGGGGAATGAATCTGTGGAGTTTATCATCACCACTACAGAAATAAATTTGAATTATTAATTATCTTAAATCAGATTTCCCTTCAAATTGTAGATTAGTAGTCTCTTTGAGAAAGTTGAGAGTAGGTGATAAAGGTTTGGGGTCAGAAGAGAGCTCAGAAATGGAATGTATTTAACTTAATTCTGTATGTAAAACCAGTAAAGTCACTTGGTATATCTAGTCAAAGTAATTTAAGACATCAGAGAAAAGTAGAAATGCATGTGTATAACTAAGATCCTTCTTAAGATAACTTTTATTTCAGTGTACTTCTGATAGGCCTGGATTATAGCAACATATGTAGGGTTTTTTGTTGTTCTTTTTTGTTTTTTTAAGCTTACCTCTATATTTTCATGAAGAATCAGATTTTGTAATTTTTATCTTAGAAGAGCAATGAAAAGTTGATCTGCCCTTAAGTTACAGCCACTGAAAGATACATTAAAGCCTCTAGAAGAAATGTGAAATGTCTAAATTTCCCACAGCATGTGATAACCTCCTAAATATGAAGACCCCATATTAATCAATCAACCAAACAAGAAAACCCCAAAACAAAACAAACACAAATAAATCAATGATAAGAACAAACAAAACCACTTCTAGATATCACCTAAGAACTAAGCAACAGAGAACAGAGAAGATTTTGTCACAGACAAGTAGGAGAAGAAACATCTGGAAAATCAGCTCCAGTACCTATTTTCTGTTTTAATTTCTTTACCTATTTTTTATTTTCCTTTTTTTTCAGAGATGAGGTCTTGCTGTGCTGCCCAGGCTGTTCTCAAACTCCTGGCCTAAAGCAATCCACCTCATTTGGCCTCCCAAAGTGCTGAGATCACAGGTGTGAGCCACGGTGCCACTCTGTGCCACTTAATTCTTAAACAGAGAATTAAGTAGACAACCATAGAAAAGAAGATTGGGAAATAAGGGCTTAATAATTACAATATAGAAAAATCTTCCGTACCTCCTACCCAAATATATATATATATATACACACACATATCACACAGTGGGGCAAAATACAGAAGAAAAATATAATCACATACTTTAAAAAATGAGAGATTTTTCTGTAGTTTATGTTTTATTTCAATGGATCTTTCTATAGAAAATAATTCTAGATTTTGACAGTGAATAAAGTATTTATTGTAGTTTAGATTTTAAATTCAAGTTTTATTGCTACATAAATGTGTTATAAGATATACATCATATTTCATAACCCAATTTTATGTCCTGAGTGAAAATATTCCAAATATTTAATAAATACACCGGAAATATTTTCTTGCCAAAGTTTCTATCAACGTTCTTCTTTTGATACTATCTTCCTCTTCCTCTTTTGTTTTTGTCTTCGAAAATCACTGTAACTGCTCATGGAACTACGTAATTAGGGAAGACATTTATAAAGACTATCACAGTATTTGTTTTAACATTTCCAATTCCTCAAAATCTTTTGAAATAAGTCAGCAGGTCTAGTAACAAGAAGAAGCCATTTAATAATCAGATTAAATATGAGACACACTTTAGAAAAATGAATTATTTGACAAGATGAAAAATGAAAGAAGCTACATTTAGGTTTAATTTACTCAATTTTCGTGCATGCCTATGGAGCAGCAAAGACAAATTACAATTTCTAATAAATGGTTGAAATGCTTAGCATTTTCAAGAAACTATAAGTAATTCTGTGCACTGCATGAATATATATTGAGAAGGCAGGTGTTGTGTGGGCAGTGAGTTTTCAGAGCCATAGTAAGTGTGTGAATGTGTGTGTGTATATAAGAAACAGAGAAGAATTAATGTCAACATCTATCCTACATTAAAATATTAAAAATATATAACTTTAAATATATATTTATAACTGAAATGACTTTTATGTTTTATTCATGCCAGAATCATCTTTATAGAATATTAAAATAATACCTGTCTTAAAAACTGAAAATACATTCAATAATTATGCCCAATTTATTTCTGTGATCATACTAACATTTTGTGAGATGAAATATTTGGTAAATTACATGAGAAGAATCACATCAAGTGAAAATAAATGATTTCTTACTAACTGGCCAATGTATATCAAAGGATTAATGAGTGCAAATAATTCTGGATTTGTCATTATGAAAAATATAACTATATTTTCGGATTATACTTCCTAAACTCTTAACATATACCATCTAGTCAAAGAGTTGTTACATTAAAGACAAAATAACAGAATAAAATTTTTACAATCTAGTCCATGTTTATTTGTTAAATAAATTACTATGGAGGTACAATATGGTTAATTTTGTATTTTATTTCTAAAAATTAATTGATCTAAGATGACTAAATCCTAATTGAATAAAATTTGTTTTCCCATTGCTATAGGCAAATTGCATATTAATCTGTATGCACAAGGTATTCACAACCAGTTATAAGGTTCTCTAGTACACAGTATGACCTCAAATTTGTTTAAACATATTTCCATTTATTTTAAGTATGGGATAGTCAATAGGATGGGAGAAAGAGAGAGAGACAAGCACAGGTTATATCCTGTATCATGAGTAATGTTTTACTTGTATGCTTAAAGGAAATTTATACAAATAGTTTCAGTCGAAATATCTGAATGGTAGCTTTAGTATTGATTTTTATATTAAGCTATTATGTATTTTATAAATATTCAATATCTTATTTGTATTGCTCTCATACTCAGAAAAGAACAATTATAACACAAGAAAAAACATAAAATGATTAATGAAGAGCAAAGAAAAATGATTTAGCTTTAAAAGATATGTATGTCTACCATAATTATCACCATTTAACCCTAAATAGCATCTTCTCTCTCTCTCCCTCTCCAATCTCTCTCTTTCTCTCGATCAACTTCAATTTAGAAAGAGTGGCATGCAATGATTTCAACTTTACACAATGGCTATAACTACAGTTTGGCAGTTTGGTAAATGGGTTAAATAGAGACCCAGAAACCCTTATAAGAGAACGTAACAAGAATCCAAGTAAGAAGTGATAGTGACTTGATTTTGAAAATTGTTAGTAGAGATAGAAAGATGTACCATAGGTGGTTTCAGGAGTTATTTAGAAGAAATTATAGATAGAAAATTATGATTATGCAGCTTCATAATGTAACGAAGAAAGAAAACACATTGCTATAGTTTCTTAACTTAGAAACAAAGAGAAAATGGTACAATTTACTGAGAGAGAAAACAGTAGTCAAAGTTAGAAAGTAAGGTCATCTTTGAAAATTTAACTGTGAAGCTTCTACAGTGGAAATAGGACAGATATTCAGGATAAATTTAGGTGTACGGGTTTTATTTGAAAGTCATCAACATATGATATATTCAACATATGCTGTATTTTAATTATCCTAGGAAGTAAACAGAATGAACCTGACAAAATATGTAGAGTGATCAGAGAAAAAAAAGAGTCAGAAACAGACTCTGCAAAAGCAAACCATTTAATAAATATAAAGAATACATAGGTATCAAAGTGGCTAATGTCACAATAAACAGAAGTAGCCAACTTTACTTTTTCCATACTAAATTTGTATAGTATTTCCATTTCAATGCTAGAGCAAATTGACATTAATATAAGCACTGAGATATGAAGATTGATTTAATAACAATGATATGAACTGAATTGCACTCGTCCCTCAAATTTAAATATGGAAACCATAATTCACTATGTGACTATATTTAGAAATAGAGCCTTTAAAGAGGTAATTATGGTGAAATAGATCATAAGGGTGACCTCATACCATTAAATGTGAGAGACTCTAATCTGATATAGCTAGGATCAGATATGAGATCCATTATGAGAAAAAGACACTAGGGATCTCTCTCATTCCGCAGGTGCACAGAAGATAGGGCATATGAGGTCACAGCCAGAAATTGAGGCTTTAATGAAAACCAACACTAATAGCACCCTGATCTCGTACTCACAGCCTCAAAAACGACGAGAAAATAAAATTCTGTTGTTTAAGACACCCAGACTTTGATATTTTCTTACGATCACTCTAGCAGACTAGATTTTGATACCAAGAAGTAGGGTGCTGCTTAAACAAATGCTGAAAAATATGGAAGTAGTTTTGGATCTAGGTGATGGTCGGAGGTGGAAGAGTTTTGAAGTGTGGGCTAAGAAGGCTTAGATTGTCTTGAAGGGACTCTTGGTAGAAATATATGAATCCTAAAGGTGATTCTGGTGAGGTCTCAGACAAAAATGGGGTACTTGTTATTGAAAACTGGTTGAAAGGTATCTTAGCTTATTTTCTGTTGCAACAGCAGATTACCATAAACTGAGTAATGTATAAAGAAAATAAATACATTTCTTGCAGTTCTGAAGGCTGGAAAGCCCAAGAGCATGGCACTAGCATATCACGAGGGCTTTCTTGCTGTGTTATGTCATGGTGGAAGAGCAGAAAGGCAAGTGGAGCATGTGGAAAAGACCTCAAGAGCAAGTTAAGTTTGCTTTCATAACAATCTGCTATCTTGATAACTAATTCATTCTTGTGAGAACTAGTTCTCCCCTGCAAAAACTCACTCACTCCCACAATAATGACATAAATAAATTAATCAGGGCTCTACTTTCAATGACCTAGTCAACTTTTAAAGGCCCCACCTATTCATACTGCTACATTGGCAGTTAAATTTCTAACACATGAACTTTAGGGGGATACACTGAAATCATAATCAAAGGTGATTATTGATATAAAGTGGTAATAAACTTAGTTGAAGTATGTTCTAGTGCTTTTTGGAAAGTATATTTGCAAATAAAGACATTGGGTATTTAGCTAAGGAGATTTCTAAGCTTCTGAGTGTTGAATAATGAGCCTGTCTTCTTATTGTTTATGACAAGTGTGAGAGCAGGGAGATACATTGAATGAATTGATCAAAAAATAATATTAGAATTTAAAAACTACTGTCTATCTTAATTACAAAAAAAAAGGTGAAAAAGCTTGTTCTAGAGAGAATATCAAGGGTGTTTCTGGACAATTACTTCATAAAGTGATCAAATATCTAGTTAATCAGCCACCTCAGCAGAAACCAGGAATACCTAGAGAAATATGCAAACAAAAACACTGCCAGTCTTGACCAAAGCGAACAGAGATTGGATAAAATAAACAAGCGTTTTCTAACTTCTGGGATTCTACAAGACAGATGATACAGCTTTTTGGCGGTGAATTTATTTTAGCCTTCAAGAAACAGGAAGAATCACCCTAAAGATGGCTCAGAAATAATCAGGGAAGAGACTCCCCCAACAGGGCCAGAAGGCAAAATTGTGTCCTTGTTTTCAGAAGGTAGGGCCATCTCCTGTTTCAATGGGTCAGACTATCTTTGCTCAGAGCCTCAGAGATGGAGATCTCTGCATAAAGCTGTGGGGATGGAGCCACCATCCTGAGCTGACAGGCAGGGCCACCACCTAAGGAAACAGGCATGATACTACCTCTCTAGGGCACCAAGAAGGCAGAGCATCTAGCCAAAGAGGATTATTCTCAATCTTTAAGGCCTAATGGAATTTTCTCTGGTAGGTGTTGCATTTGCTTGGACCATGGCATCTCCTTTTCAAAATGGGTATGTCTGTCCTATGCTTGTCCCACCATGTGTTTTAGAGGCACTTAATTTGTCTGGTCTTGCAGCTTCACATCTGGAGAGGAATTTTGTCTCAGCATGAATCTTACCCAAGTCTGATTTTGATGATACTTATTTTTAAAATTTTTACTTAATTAATTTCTGATTATTTTCAATTTTTAATTTATGTGGGCACATAGCAAGTACATGTATTTATGACATACATGAGCATTTTGATGCAGGCATGAGTGCATAATAATCATATCAAGGTAAATGAGGTATTCATAACCTCGAGCATTTATCTTTTGTGTTCTAGACAATCTAATTATACTGTTTTAGTTATTTTTAAATGTACAATTAAATTATTACTGACTATAGCCACGCTGTTGTACTCTCAAATGCTAGGTCTTATTCATCCTTTCTATTTTTTGTACCTATTGACCATCCGCACCTTTCACACACCCACTCAATACCCTTCCATCCACTCTCCATCTCTAGGAGTTCAATTGTTTTGCTATTTATATCCCACAAATAAGTGGGAACATGCAATGTTTGTCTTTCTGTTCCTGGCTTATTTCACTTAACATGATACTCTCCAGTTCAATCTATGTTGTTATAAATGACAAGATATTCTTTTTATGGCGGAATAGTACTACGTTATGTATAAGTATCACATTTTCTTTATCTATTCATCTGTTGAATGGGCGTAGGTTGCTTCCAAGTCTTGGCTATTATGAACAGAGATGTAACAAACATGCTTACCATTTGTATATCTTCTTGGGAGATAGGTCCATTCAAATATTTTGCCAATTTTAAAATCAGAATTATTAGATTTTTTTCCTATTAGTACATATTCCAACAATTCCTGAGTTGTTTGAGCTCTTTATATATTCTGGTTATTACTCATTTGTCAGATGGATGGTTTGCAAACATTTTCTTCCATTCTATGGATTGTCTTGAGTTTGTTCATTGTTTCCTTTGTTGTTCACAAGCTTTTTAACTTGATGTGAACCCACTTGTCCATTTTTACTTGATTGCCTGTGTTTGTGGGGTATTAATTAAGAAACTTTGCCCAGACCAGTATTCTGAAGATTTTCTCCAGTGTAGTAGTTTTATAGTTTATAGTAGTTTCATACTTTGAGGTCTTAGATTTAAGTCTGTAATCCATTTTGATTTTATTTCCTTGTCTCCTCTCTTTTAGGCAAGAGAGATGTGTCTTTTCCCAAATGTGTGTTCTTGGCATATTTGTTAAAAGTGAACTCACTGTAGGTTTGTGGATTTGTTTCTGTGTTCTCTATTCTGTTCTATTTTTCTATGTGTCTGATTTTATGCCACTACCATGCTGTTTTGGTTTTTTAGCTCTGTAGTATCATCTGAAATCAGGTAATGTGATTCTTCAGTTTTCCTTGTTTGTTGTTGTTTAGGATAGCTTTGGCTATTCTGGGTCTTTTGGGGTTCCACAAATTTTTAGGTTGTTTCTTCTATTTCTGTAAAGAATGTCCTTAGTATTTTGACAAGAATTGCACTGAATCAGTACATTACTTTGTATTGAATCTATATGAATATTTAACAATAGTGATTATTTTAATCCATTAACATGAAATATATTTCCATTTTTTGGTGTCCTCTTCCATTTATTTCATCAGTGTTTTGTAATTTTTTTGTAGAGGTCTTTCGCTCCTTAAGTTTATACGTAGGTATTTAATATTATTTATGGCTATTGTGAGTGGGATTACTTTTTATTTATTTTTCAGATTGTTCACTGTTAGCATACAAAAATGCTACTGATTTCTGTATGTTAATTTTGTTTCCTGTAACTTCACTGAATTTGGTCAGAAATTGTACCATTTTTTGTGGAGTCCTTAGGTTTTTCCAAGTATAAGATCATATCATCTACAAACAAGCAAAATTTTGACTTCTTCATTTAATTTTGGATGCCCTTTATTTTTCCCTCTTTTCTGATTGCTCTTAGGTCTTCCAGTACTATGTTGAATATCAGTGGTGAAAGTGGGCATCATTGTTGTTTCAGATCTTTGAGGAAAGGCGTTCAGATTTTCCCCATTTAGTATGATACTAACATGGGTCTATCATACAGGATTTTTATTACTTTGAGGTTTGTTCCTTCTATACCTAGCTTTTTTTTTTTAAGATTTTTATCATGAAGGAATATTGAATTTTAGCAAATGCATTTTCAGCATCAGTTGAACTTATCATATGGATTGTGTCCTTCATTGTGTTGATACGATGTGTTGCATCAATTGATTTGCATATGTTGACCCATCTTTTCATCCCTGAGATAAATCTCAATTGGTTTTGATGAATTTGCTTTCTAATTTATTGTTCTATTTATTTTGCTGGTATCTTATTGAGAATTTTTGCATCAATATTCAATGGATATGTTGACCTATAATTTTTTTTTTTTTTTTGGTATGTCTTTGTCTTGTTTTGGTAATAGGTGAATACTGGTCTTGTAGAACAAATTTAAAAGTCTTTTCTCTTCCTGTATTTTTTAGAATAGTATGAATAGGGTTGGTATTAGTTCTTTCTCTTTCTCTTTTGTTGTTGTTTTCTTTTTAAAGACACTTTTTTGTTTTCCTTTAGTTTCTGTTGTTTTTTTATTTTTTTAACTTTTAAATTCAGTGGTACATATGCATGCTTGTTATATAGGTAAATTAGGTGTGAGGAAGGTTAGGAGTACAGATTATTTCACCATATAGGAAATAAGAATAGTATCTGATAGGCAGTTTTTTGATCCTCACCTTCTTTCTTCCCTCCACCCTAAAGTAAGTCCCAGTGTCTGTTATTTCCTTCTTTGTGGCCATAGATACTCAATTTTTGGCTTTTACATATAAGTAAGAATATGTGATATTTGGTTTTCTGTTCCTATGTTAGTTCATTTAGGGTAATGGTCTTCAGCTCCTTCCATGTTGCTGCAAAGAATGTGATCTTATTATTTTTATTGTTGCATAGTATTCCAAGGTTTATATGTTCCACATTTTCTATATCCAGTCTACCATTGATGGGCATTTAGGGTTATTACATATGTTTGCTATTGTGAATATTGCTGTAATGAACATTCATGTGTATGTGTCTTTATGGCAAAATGATATATATTTTTGCCTATATACCCAATAATGGGATTGCTGTGTAGAATGGCAATTCTACTTTGAAATCATTGGGCAACTGCTGAACTGCTTTTTACAGTGGCTGAACTAATTTATATTCCCACCAACATTGTATAAGCGTTCTTTCTTCACAACACACCAGCATCTGTTATTTTTTGACTTTTTATTAATAGTCATTCTGACCATTAAGAGATGGTATCTCATTATGGTTTTGATTTGCATTTCTCTTCTGATTAATGATACTGAGTATTTTTTCATATGCTTATTGGTTGCATGTATGTCTTCTTTTGAATATTGTCTGTTCATATCCTTTGCTCACTTTGTATTGGGATTGTTTAGTTTTTGCTTGCAAATTTAAGTTCTTTATAGATTCTATATCTTAGACCTTTGTCAGATAAATAGTTTGCAAATACTTTCTCCCATTCCCTATACTTTCTGTTTAGTCTGTTGACAGTTTTCTTGCTTTGCAGTAGGTCCCATTTAAAATTTTTGTTTTTACTGCAATTGCTTTTGGTGTCTTTGTCTTGAAATCTTTGTCAGATCCTATATCCAGATGGTGTTTCCTAGGTTACCCTCCAGGGTTTTTATAGTTTTAGGTTTTACATTTAAGTATTTAATCCTTCTTGAGTTGATATTTGTATATGGTATAAGAAAGGGTCCCAGATTCAGTCTTCTTCGTATAGCTATCCAGTTATCCCTTAGTTCTTCTTAAAGTTTGATAGATTTCAATGTGAAGCAATCAGGTCCTGGGCTTTTTATTAATGGGAGACATTTTACTATAGCTTCAATCTTGTTACTTGTTATTAACTTGCTCAGGTTTTCAGTTTCTTCACATTTCAGTCTTGGTAGGTTGTATGTAGCTAGGAATTTATCTATTTCCTCTACATTTTCCAATTTATTGGCATATATTGTATTTGCTCATTGTAGCTACCAGTAATCCTTTGAATTTCTGTAGCCTTTTTCATCTGTAATTTTATTTATTTATTTATTCTTTATTAATCTGACTAAAGGTTTTCTATTTTATCTTTTCAAGAAGCAATTTTTGTTTATTGATCTTTCTATCGTTTTCTTCATTTCAAATTAATTTATTTCTGCTCTGATATTTATTATTTATTTCCTTTTACTAATTTTGGGTTTGGTTTCCCCTTGCTTTTCTATTTCTTTAAGATACATTCTGAGGCTATTCATTTAAAATTTTTCTTCTTTTTTTATGTAGTCACTTCTAGCTAATTAATTTCTCTTGGTAATGCTTTCTCTGTATTCCACTGTTTTTGTTACATTATGTTTTTATAATTATTTGTTTCCAGAAATTTTTCAATTTCCTTTTTAATTTATTCATTTACCTACTGGACCTTCAGGAGCATACTGTTTAATTTCCATCTATGTATATAGCTTCCAAAGTTCCTGTTCTTATTAATTTCTCATTTTATTTCACTGTGTAGAGAAGATGCTTGATGTTATTTCCATTTTTCTCAATGTGTTAACACTTGCTTTATGATCTAACATATGGTCTATCCTTGAGAGTAATCAATCTGCTAAGAAGAAAAATATTTATTCTGTAGCCTTTGGATGAAATGTTCTGTAAACGTCTAATAGATCCCTTTGTTCTATAGTGCAGATTAAGTCTGCTGTTGGATTGTTGATTTTCTGTCTGAATAATCTGCCCAATGCTGAAAGTGAGGTGTTGAAGTCTCCAGCTGTTATTTTACTGAGGTCTGTCTATCTTTTTAGCTCTAGTGATGTTTACTTTATATATCTGGGTGATCAAGTGTTGGGTTCATATATATTTACAGTTTTTATAACCTTTGGCTGAATTGACCACTTTATCATCATATAATAATCTTTATCTCTTCTTACAGTTTTTGTCTTGATATCTATTTTGTGGAAGTATAGCTACTCCTACTCATTTTTGGTTTCTTGTTTTCATCCCTTTATTCCATTCTTGGTGTTTCTTTATAGATAAAGTATGTTTTTTATAGGCAACAGATCATTGAGTCTTGCTTTTTCATCCATTCAGCCACTCTACATCTTTTGGTTGGAAAGTTTAACTCATTTACATTCAATGTTATTATTGATAAATAGGGTCTTACACTTGCTATTTGTTTTCTGATTACTTTGCAATTTTTTCTTCCTTCTTTCTATCATTCTTGTACTCTTTTTAGTGAAGGTTATTTTCTCTGGTGGTAGAATTTAATTTCTCACTTTTATTTTTTGGTTTATTAGTTGTATGTTTTTCAATTTGAGTTTACCATGAGGCTCGCAGATACTATCTTATAACCCGCTATTTTAAACTGATGACAGCTTAGCAGTAATTGCATAAAGAAACAAACTCACAAAGAGAAAACTAGTAAAAACTTTTCATTTTAATGTCATTTCCTCATTTTTTAACTTTTTCTTGTTTCTGTTTATTTTTTTTGCACTGCATATGTCTTGAAAGTTGTTGTACTCATTTATTTTTGATTGGTTCCTCATTTAGTGTTTCTACTTAAGACAATAGTAGTTTATACATCACAATTATAGAGTTATAATATTCTGTATTTTTCTGTGCGTTTACTTTTATCAGTGAATTTTGTACCTCTAAATGATTTCTTCATG